GCTTTGAAATTGTTGAGTTTATTAATCATAAATTCTTTAATGTCTGAAAAATTTGAAATAGATATTAAAACAAATTCCAAATTAGGGCTTCCAGATGCCCATATTCGGTGGAGGATTACGCTACTCAAAATTGGATAGCTCTAGGTACTGTTGTTTTACCACAATGCGAGAAACATACATACACTTATGCAGATTCTTCATTATTTAATTTTTTAAATATAATGCAGGGCTGTAATATTTGCTGGCAACAGTAGGAAAAGTGAATCAAGGCAGAAATGGAATCAATACAAAATTCCAAAACGAAATTAATAGCTCTTCTGGGATTAATTCCATTTGGGCTAATAATCATAATGGAACAGTGAAACCAATGTATGAAACATAAAATAAGCATAAAAGCTGTAATATTTGCTGGCAACAGTAGGAAAAGTGAATCAAGGCAGAAATGGAATCAATACAAAATTCCAAAACGAAATTAATAGCTCTTCTGGGATTAATTCCATTTGGGCTAATAATCATAATGGAACAGTGAAACCAATGTATGAAACATAAAATAAGCATAAAAGCCAAAAAAATAATGTAAAGAAAAATCTTACTGATGCCAATACTAAGACGCAAAACTAAGCTAAATTATTGTTGCCAACAACGAGTAAATTGGATTTAGAACTAAATATATAAGGTTTAGTAGTTTTTCTTATACTTCTTATACTTATGCTTTCATCATATTCTAAAATAAGTTAAAGAAACAAGAAGCAAGTACTTTGGAGCAAAGCCTTTTTTTTTTCGAAAGGTGCGCACAGTTAAGTGTAGTTTGATTACAAAAATATAATTAATTAAGAAATACTTATTTTAAATTTTTAGCAAAAGTTAAATTTAGAAAATATCGGTAAGGGATACGATATGATCCTTGGACTCATTCAAAGAGCATATGACCCTTTGGAGTATATTACGACGCCTGGGAAGTTCACAACAGTGATAGAGAAAAATAAAAGAATAGTCATTGTTGGCCTCCAGATGTTTATTTTGCCATTAATGTTTACCTTCATGTAATCTAATAGATATCCCTTTGAATGCCCGAATACGCTGTCAGTTCACATGTGTTAAAGTTACAGATAAATTTCAAAAGCACAATTGTTCAAAATAAATATTTGTGATATTTCAATTTAAAAGCACTGTTACGAATTTTGTATTTAAATAGCTAAGGTTAGTAGAAGTATAATTAAAATCGTTTTATTTCCCCTTGTAATGAAGCAAAAGAGGAGTTTTAAGGGAGAGCTATACCGGAAAGGTAAAATCACAGGAGCATGTGCATTTAGCTTTGAATAAATGGATATCTCTGTAATTTACGTTTAATATATTTAAATTTAACTGACTACTATGTTAGCTGTAACCGCAGCTCTACACGTTTTGCTTTCCAGAAATCTCGAGAAGCAGAAATTGCTAGAAATTTCTCGCAACCTGTTGAAAGCTATAACAAGACAGACAGAGAACATCTCAGCTCAGTTGTTTAGTTAGAGGCTGTTGTTACTGTTGCGAATTCACGGTGAGTTTGCGTTCTTTTCATTATGTTGCGTGATATTGTGAACACTTGTACGAATATTTCTGAGGAAAATTCCAGCGTCTCGTATATTTCTTTTGATAAGAATAAATTTTATTAACCTTTTATCGACTTGTGCATTCAATCTATTATGAGCCCGTACGCAACATTATTGTTACGTATTTTGTATTTAGTATGCTATTTTTGTAGAACTGTTATTAAAACTGTTTTATATCCACGTGCAATGCAGCAGAAGAATTGTTTTAAGAGAAAGCTACGGCAGTAAGGTAAAAATACAGGAGCCCGCGCATTTAACATTTAATATATAGATATCTCGTATATGTACTCTTTTGCTTTTCAGAAACCTCGAGAAAATAGAAGTTACCAGAACCATCTCGTTGCATGATTAAAAAGCTTTAAAAAGCCGGAGAGAATTATTTCAGTTCAGTTGTTCAGATAGCTGTTGTTTTTGTTTGTAGCGAATTCGAAGTGAGATTTGATTAGCTTTCTCTGCACTTTGGATTGCGACCTATTCAATGTTTTAACAGTTTAAAATATAGCTACTGATTATATTCCGTGATACTGCTATATTGTACGAATACTTTCGTGAGGAAAAACCCAGCGTTTTGTTACAATTCTTGTGATAAGAATAAATTTTATTAACTTTATGTCGGACTTGTGCACTCAATCTATTACAAACCCATACGCACACAACAGCATTATCATTTAAGCATTATCGGCCCACCAGCGGCCGAGCGGTAAAATCGCTGAACACTGGTAGTTAGGTCCGATGTTCCAATCCCGCGAACGAGCTGGCTGCATGGGTGTTTTCGTGGTTTTCCTCATGTGTAACGTGTATAAGAGCCAGTTTCCCTTAGAAAGTCCTCCACGAAAGCATCCCTCCCCTTAGGCAGATAACCCTCGAGGCTTTGCCTTAATTAAATAACGTAACCTAACCATTTAAGCATTATCAATTATCATCAGCATATCAATTTCGCAAGCAAAGCACTGCTAAATATTAGAGACCCGAATTAATTAACTAATGGACAAAAAATTCCTTAAAAAGAAATGCACATTTTAATTTTAGAAGTAGTAGCGAACTATTCATCAGAAATTACTTAGCAAATAATGGAAAGCGTGTTTTTATACAGATACAGAAAAAACAAGGAAAATAAAATTCCATACAAAAAATAAATCCCATTCGAGAGAAAAGCAAACTATAACTAAACTATGCATAGTTGTTTTATGGATTTTTAGCTGTGTTTTACTAGTTATTTTATGGAGTACGAGTTTATGTAGTTTCATAAATTTTAAATATATTTAACTCTGCATTATTTATGCTTTACGAGTTCCATCTCTAGAAGCGAGAGCACGTCTGCCAATATTTGTTTAAAAATACACGTTGCCATCCGGAAAAGATAAAATACGGGCCATTTCAAGCATTTACGCCTACAAGTGCGGTTGCATCGATGATGCAGTTGCCCACTGCGAACAACAGACGCAGCTGCAAAGAACAGTTTATCACAGAGGGAATCAAAGACAAGTAATCTTCATTCGCTTCATTCTGCTCTCAAATTAGTTGTCTGGTACTTTATCAGCAGCAATTAATCAAAGCTCTACTCGCCTAAGGTTTACCCGGCGCCGTCAGACGTACCACGTCGAACGCACAGCCCTTCAGGGAATTTTCATTCTAAAGCTTTTCTGTTGCACACGAGATTAATTTTACCTCATAAAGCTGAATTTTTTAAACTTCCCAACACACCTATGATTTGTTATGTGAATACTAGAAAGTTGTTTATAGTTTAATATATACTGCGTCTTCCAGTGTGCAGTTTATTTCTATATTATTTATGCTTTTCATAATAAAAGATTTTTTAATCTTGTTGTTTTTCTTATTATTTATAATGAAAACGAATCCATTTTTGTATTAATATATCTTCATACTACAGAATTATAATGAGTAATCTCCTATTAGAAAAAACAGAAAAACGTGTGTTTGCCGTAAACGTACTTCTTGTGCAAAGTAAAGGAAGAATTGTAATTGCGAAGAATTTCGGATATCATATTTCAACTAAAATATTCATTTCGATCGCTTTTATAGCAATATTAACTAACCGATCAAAATACATTGAGAACCGAAATTAACTCAGTCTGAATTAAGAGGACTGTCGTCTGTCTGCTCCTTCCATCTTACAAAAAATTTATCTAAAATTTAAGCTTTTTCGAATAGGCACATTTAATGTGCCACCTTGTTTGTCGGCCCAACATGCTTACTGAAATAAAAGTTGAATTGAATATACCTTGACTGCCAAATTTCTTATTCATTGTGGATCGGCGTTTTAGTATTCATCAAAATTCTCGCTGTTCATTACGGATTCAACCGCCTGCGTTCTACTACAGAACCGACTATTACATATACACAGTCATGTCCATAAATTAAGGATAATTCGGAGTCACATTCAAATCGAACTCTAAAATAAATATATCACCTGTAAAATCACTACACACATCGTCAAGAATCATATCAAATTTCAGGAAGTAATCAATCAATCGAATTTTACTCACCACTCCTGCGATCTTTCGCAACTGTGGGAAACCTGCTTTGACGCTCCCTCTGTCTGGGGAGGTCCATCCTCCGTATTAGGCGGGAGGATGAGGTCTGAGCGGACCGGTTCATTGGCTCGTAAGTGGTTTTGAATCCACGTAGACACTTGGTTTAGTCCCTCCGTATCAGGCGGGAGGGAGCTGCAACTTAAGTTTGTGCTGATTTAAATGGCCCTTTATAGGTACTGGTCTTTGGGTGCCGTGTTTGTAGATGCCCTTAGGCTGATCATCGTATCTTGGAGGGCCTTTCGGCGAAATCTCCAAAGCATCACACACCATAGTGCGATCCAATGACTGGAAGATTTGTCGGGAAATTATGTATCTCACCAACAAATAGTTTTATTTGAGGATCGCAATCTAGATCCTCTTACTTTTATTTATCTTTTTTCATTCTCTTATTATTTTTATTATTATTATAATTTACAAATACAAAGAAAAACTATTTACAATATTTTACAATAGTTACAAGACTTAGACCGTGTTACATGAGTCGTAGTATATCTGAGGGATGCCTTATCACGGCATCTCCTTTACAATTGTATTTTGGTTGTCTGCTACGAATTTTATTATTCGCTGAATGCCCTTAAGGCCTGCTGGATATTTCGCTAGGTGGTTAATCTCCATTGAGGAGAAGGCGTCTTTGAATATTTCTTGTCTTAGCCCTTGGAGGAGTGGGCATTTAGTGACGTAATGCAATGCATTTGCTAATGACGCACTTGTGCCGCATGCACATTTCGTCTGTCGTCTGAAGAACCGAAGATAATAGCTGGGGAACTTCCCGTGGTTTGTGAGTGCCTGTACTTCGTAATAGTCTGTTCTTGTTCTTTTGGGGGAGACTGTCGGGAATATTTTGAACGTCCATCTACCCGTCTGTTCTTGTTCCCATCTCTCCTGCCATTGTCGAATCATTTCTTGTTAGTTTTGTTTTCATTGCTAATTCCGAGAGGGGGACTTCCGTATCCACTTCTATTTGTTCTGTAGCCCTTTTGGCCTCCGTGTCGGCTCTTTCATTGCCCATTGTGCCCTCATGCGCTTTCACCCAGTGGAAACCTACTGTGTGGGAATCCTGGAGGGTATGAAATAATTCCTTCAGTGCTCTGATGCTCCTGTTGGAGTTTTGTGTCTTATTGACGCTTTGAAGGGAACTTTGACTATCTGTGTATATATTTATTCTATGTTCTGCACTTATGTTGTGGCTTAGCCATATACATGCTTCCTTTAAAGCCAGGACTTCCGCCTGGAAGACCGTGGCGTCATTATTTAATCTGATTCTTTTATTATGTATTTCTTGCGTGTTGTTAAAGATCACAAAAGCCGCCCCTACTTTATCTTCTTTCTTCGAGCCGTCTGTAAATGCTTCTATTCCCTGTCCTTCTGGGGGGTCTTTGTCCCATTTTAAGTGAAATTTTCTAGCCGGGTGTTCCGAGGCTGCTGGGAGTTTTTCCTCTATTTCTTTAGCCCAAATTATTATTTCTCCTATGTTTATGTTTTCTTTATAGTGCTGTACCCTGTACAGGCTTGCCTCCATGTGTGCTTTTAAGTCTAGCGGCATTAGACCAGCCAAGACTTGTAGCGCTGATGTTGGGGCGGTTGAGAATGCTTTTGTTATACAGAGAAGCGCCACCCTTTGTATTTGATTAAGCTTTATCTTTTGTCTTTCTGTGCCCGTGTACCATATGGGGCACCCATAAAGAATCATTCTTTCTATTGCTTGAAGGTACAATGTCTTTAGAAGTTTCCCTCTTATGTTCCACCTATGCGTAATCATCTTATTGAGGTTGTTAATGAGGCATAATGTGTTTTATCCTTAATTTCTCCTAGGTGGGGGATCCACGTTAATTTGAGATCCAGTGTAAAGCCCAGATATTTCAATGTCTCACACCTCGGAATGGTGGTGTTGTTCCATTTTATCCTGGGGGGAGAACGGTGTAATTTGTTGCTTTTGGGGAAGAGAATTTGCTTCGTCTTTTCTATACTGAACTTTAATTTATAGTCTGTGCTCCATTTTTGGATCTGGGAAAGGGCCTTATGAGCCTTTTCCTCCAATCTTGTTCTATTTCCTCCCGCAATTATAAGTATGAAGTCATCTGCATACGCCTGCAGTTTAATGTCCTCTTCGAACTTTATTTTGAGTGCGGAATCTGCCACTACGTTCCATAGTATGGGGCCCAGGTTTGACCCTTGTGGGGCTCCCTTCTCGTATGTATGTGTGACTTTAACTCCATCCCTTTTATATGAGATTCTTCTATTGTTTAAATAGCTTTTAATTATTTCGTATAGATTCTTGGGACATTCCATCTCTTGGAGTCTTTCCAGAACCCCCGGCCACCAAAGGTTGTTAAAGGCCGAGGCTACGTCTAGTGCAATTACACATGTGTGAAGATTGCGTCCTTTGTTCCTGTGAATCTGATTAATTAGCTCATTTAATGCATCTAATGTGCTTCTGTCTGGTAAGAAGCCGAACTGCTGCCCATGCAGCTTTTTGTTCGAGACTAGGAAGTGGGTAAGTCTTTTTGCTAAGAGCTTATCGAGCACTTTGCCCCACGCCGACAATAGGCATATTGGGCGGTAGGCGTTGGCCTTAGTTGGATCTTTACCTTCCTTTCTGAACAACACTAAGTTGCCAGACTTCCACGTGTCCGGAAAGTAGCCTTCGTGAAGGCAGAAGTTTAGCATCTTGGTAAATTTTTCCCTGTCCGCTAGGAAGAGTTCTTCTGTGATATCTATTGAGAGCCCGTCGTCCCCTGGGGCTTTCCCTCTTTTGGTGGACCTTATGATTCCCTCTATCTCTTCTTCCGTAAATGGAAGATCGTCTTCTGTGTTGGGGTGGTTTTGGACTTTAGCTCTTATTTGACTGTGAAACCCCGTGTCCTCATCTTCCTTGTCTTGGGGGAAATGATATCTTATAATTGCTTTATAGTTTCCGTTGTATTTTGTGTCCACTGCCCTTGATCGTCTTTTATTCTGCATAATTTGAGAGGGGAGTATGCTTTACCCTTTGCCAAATTAAAGTACGTGCCGAAAGGGGATGTCAACTTTAGGCTTTCCCAGTATATGTCCCATGACTTTAGTTTTTTCTATTTGGATTTGTCTTCGGTATGTGGCGGCAACCTTTTTATAATCCTGCCTTTTGATCTTGCGATCCGGGCCTCTTGCGTTTTGAAAGATTTTTCGAAATCTTCGAACTTTTTTTCCTAAGTTCTGTGAGATGGGTCGACCACCATGTTTTTTGTGCCTCCTCTGATATGGTGTTTCGCACTTTTGATTGAACACTTAAGATTATTTTTATATGCCTCTTTGATTTTGTCCGAGATTATTTGGATTTGCATATTTAGATCGTCCTTACCCTGCGGGTCTTGTATTTCACTAATGACTTTCGATATGTCTCTTTTTAATAAGAGCCAATTTTTGTGCGTTAATTTAATTCTTGGTGTTGGGCCTGTTGTTTGAAATTTATTCTGGACTTGGAAGTTGACCGCTTGGTGGTCACTAAGAGTCTCCCTTTTATCCACTTCCCATTGATCTATGAAGATATGATTCTTCTGTTGAAGTAGAGTTAAATCTATCCATGAATTGCCCCTTGGCCCTGAGAATGTGGGGGGGGGCTGTCTGCTTCATTTAAAACTGTTAGGCCTGCTGCGGCTATGAAATCTCCTAATCTTTGTCCTCTTGCGTCTGTGGGAGATGGTCCCCAAAGAGGGTTCTTCGCGTTAAAATCTCCGCAGACTATCGTGGAGATCTGGGATCTTTGTATGTGTTCTTCTAAGGTGGGAAGAATCTGATTTAAATCGTCGTGTGGTGGACAATACACTGAGATTAAATTAAAGGGCGTGTCGCCGTCTATTTTGACTATCACTATTTCTTTTGATGTATGGATTTCTAGTATTGGTATTTTGGGATCTATTACTAGAATCGCACTTTTTGCTCCTTCTGGGTGATAGTACTGTCTTACTCTCTGTGGAAAGCCGCACAGTTTATTTTTAATTGTGAATGGCTCCTGGATGCAAGCTATTGAATAGCTGCTGTTTTCTTCTAAGTCCCTTCTAAGTTGTAAGCTCGCACCCCTTGAGTGCTGTAGATTAACTTGTGTGATTTTAATTTTATCCATAATTTATTTTCCTCCTTATTATTTCTAGTTCTCTTATTTTACTTGGACATTTATTGTCTCTCCCATTATGTTTATGGTCTAGATTTAATCCAAAATCCTGGTTGGCTTTTCTACAATTTTTACATCTTTCTTTTTTGGACTTACAGTCCTTTTTAAGATGCCCTGTCTTGCCACAGTGATGGCAGCACTGTTCTTCCTTACAGAATTTTTTGGTGTGCCCGAAGCCTAAACAGTTTTGACATTGTGTGACCTGAATGTATTCTCTTACATTTTTCCTGGTCCAAAATAGATTAATCTTTTTATTTTTCATTAGAATTTTGAATGTCGTTGGGTCTACGGAACATACCCAATGTTTTCCATATCTTCCGTTCATGTTAAACTTAACTTCTAACTCTGCCGATTGAATGTCCGGATTTTGGGTTAGGATTTTCTCCTTTAAGGTTTCTGCGTCTATCTCTTCTTTTATATTGTATATTATAATCCTGGGATTAAATGTTCGTGGCCTTTGAGGTTCAACTAAGTCTTTTAGTTTTTGATTCTCTCTTTATCGCGTCTTCTAACACTTTTAAGTCGTCCTCTTTCACTGTCTCTATTATCATCACTCCGCCTTTGCGTATGTTTTTAACACTTTTAACTCCTATCTTGAGATCATTAGGGTTTATATTTTTAACTAATTGTTCTTTGACGTCCTGAGATGTTGCGCCCTCATCTTTTGGGAAAACTAAAAGTTTATGTTCTTTTTTCTTTACGGACCTGGATCTGGATCTCTGTCTTTGTTTAGCCCCGCTGGCTTTAAGTTTATCTGCATATGTCTCTTGTGGAGAAGTGTTTGACACAACTCCTTGAATGTAATCTTCTATATTCTGCGTATTTTCTAATTGTCCTTCCAAGTACGCTATTCTTAAGTTTTGTTTTGTCATTATCATTAATAGACTCGTAAACTGGTCTTTGATAGTCTTTCCTAACTTTTTTGAGATTTTCTCATTATTTAATATGCCATCTAAGTTATTTAGACACTCATGTGCCTCTTCTATAAAATGTTCTGCATTATCACTATCTGTTCTTTGTACACTATTTACAGTTCTTGCACTTTTAATGCTTTCACTTTCTTCATCTGTATGACTACACTGTCTTTGAGTCTCAACCGGGTCTCTTCGATCCCCGGGGCCTTCTGGCCTCTCTGACTCGTGTTCACTTGGAGCGGTCATAGTGCTTTGTGTTTGTTAGACTCACTATGAGCGTGTGGGGGATGTGTGCCCTACTCGGAAACTACCGCGAGCACCGTAAGGGATGCAACAAGTGCGGTGGGTGCTCTTCGCAGTGACCGGTACCCTGGGGTTCTCACCGATCACCCTTACTAGGCTGTGGAATTAGTTGGACCCTCTTGCGAGGGAGCCCCCAGACCACGGCAAGGTCAATTCCACTGGAAAGCGATTTAGCAAATAGATCACCCGTTGACGACGTTTAGACTCAGGAGTACTGGACGGCACCCGACGTTCTTTCTGAGATGCGTCAACAGGCTCGAAGACTTCAACGTTTCCGTATCAATCAAAACTACTATAATCGCTTCCCCCTGGGGGTTCAGGAAGTAAGCAGATGTCACCGATGTTACGTCACAATGACGAGAGTGTAAGAGAGTGATATATAAGGAATAAAGGCAAGAAGTAAAATTGTTCGCAGGCGCTTTATAAGCTTTTGCAATAAATAGTTTGTAAAAATTGATGTTACGGTAGAATATCGGCCGTCTGGAATGTGGGCGTACCCAACTGGAAGTATCAGACGAACATGGAATTGCCCACAGTGTCATCTCCAGGCTTTGGCAATGATTTCAAGATGATGGTAATGTGAGTAGACATTACAGCACAGGTCGCCCCAGAGTTACAACCCCGAATGAGGACCGGTATTTGGCAGTTACTGCGAAAAGAAACAGGCGGAGCACAGCCTCAGACCTGTCTCTTCAGCTCTCTTCAGCCACTGGTACGACAGTTTCAAGGCAGACCATGTGCAGATGCTTAGGGCAGATTGGTCTATATGCTCGTAGACCTGTCAGGTGCGTTTCACTTAGTGCAACTCACTGTCACCTGCGATTAGCCTGGAGTAGAGAGCATGCATTGTGGACACCCCAACAGTGGGCTTGTGTGAAGTTTTCCGACGAGTCCAGGTTTAGCTTGCAGTCTGATTCTCGCCAGACTTTCATATGGAGAGCTCCAGGTACCCGTTACCACCAAAAAAACATCATTGAACGACACCGTTACGGTGGTGCAGGTGTGCTCGTTTGGGGTGGAATTATTCTGGGTTCCAGATCTGACCTGCATGTTCAAATTGGAACCATGACAAGCCAAATCTATCGGGACGTCATTCTGGAACAACATGTACATTTTTTTCGGGGCGCGCAATTTGTGTTTATGGATGACAACGTCAATTTGTGTTTATGGATGTCAATTTGTGTTTATGGATGACAAGCCAAATCTATCGGGACGTCATTCTGGAACAACATGTACGTTTTTTTCGGGGCGCGCAATTTGTGTTTATGGATGACAACGTCCGTCCTCACCGTGCAAACATCGTTAACGAATGCCTTCAATCGGATGATATCACCCGTATGGACTGGCCAGCATTCTCACCGGACTTGAATCCAGTAGAGCACGTGTGGGACATGC